TTACTATATCGTTTCTTTTAGGATTGGTTACGAGAGAATTCACATTAACTATAATATTTAAGCATCGGGAAGCCATGGCAAATTAGTGCATAAAATAAAATTTTAAGTGCGCAAAAAATCATGTATAATGTAAGTACTTGTAGTTGTTAACCCACATTGGTACAACAAAGCGCTGCAATTACCATATCCCCTTTCACCTTTTTTCCCCTCCACCAAGAGAGAGAGAGACGGAGCGGTGTTAGAAAAAGACAGAGACCCTCCGGCTCTCTCCTCACTTCCGAGATGTTTGCTACAAGGTCTCCACTCTCCACTTGGATGCGCGGTCTATCTGTATAAGTCTATGGTTTTTGCAAACCACCGCTAAATGCAAAAAATGGTACTTCGGCAAAACGGTCTAAAAAAAGTTGTTTACAACGTTAAGTGCAATTTTTTTGCGGGACCATATTTTTTAATATTTACTCTACAAGTTACCAAAGTATCAAATTTTTTGCAGTGTGAAAGTTAGTTATTCGATCGTTCCCGAAATATCGTTATTTCTAAGAACGCTTATGGTTTGAACGTATTTGGTCGAGAACACTGGAGTCAAGCTTCAGAGAATGAACTTGGTTACTTGGTTTATGCACCGATGGCTGCGGTGGCTCATTATTACCTCTTACGCGCCGTGCCGCCGTGCGCAAAAAATACTCATGCGGTTTATCATTTCTTAAGCTACTCAGTAAAAAATTTCTATATTATTGTTCTAAATTACTGTCTTTTATATAATATGTAAGCTTATTTTAAAATAGACACCACGTCTAACGAGCATAAGAAACGATTGAACAGCACAAACTGTACGAGCGAAACGAACAAAACGAACGACCCGAACGAACGAACGATGAAAATCGAACGTGCCCAGCCCAGAGTTGACCTTTCTAACCCTAAAACCAAAAGGCTTGTTCGGAAGCCGCAATCCGACGATCCCGCGTGACCCAAGGCTGCCCGCGCTAACACAAGTTTGACTTAAGAATGACCGTTCTTTGGGTAAACGCGGGCGATCCCCGTTGAGAATCATCTGATCATCTGAGGGTCCTGATTGGGGTCTCTCCTCCTACAGTCCTACACCAACAAGAATGTGATCTAAAGGCTAAGACAATGGCCTGGCCAGGCAAGCCTCACGCGTTGCCTAGATTAATTATTAAATGTTATTTTTAAATCTCTCTTTATGTTTCTAACCCTGTCCTTTAGAGGTTAATTGGGATGCCAATATTGGCCCCACATAATCCCTCATCACACTGCGCCATCTACCTCTATGTATTTGCCCTAGTTGGACCTACATAGGTAACTAGGTAACCAATGTAGGCATAACAATAAAACATATAGCCCTCTTAAGCTTACTGACACGGTGTAAGTAAGACAAGACAGGTATTACGAAGTACGAAGTACCATCTAGTTAGAGCAATAATGCGTAATTATAGCATCTTTCTCATTTTTAATTTTTTAAAAAAATTTTTCAAGAATAATTTCGTGTTTCGAATCAGCCAGTAAGTTTCGGCTGGCAAAAATTTTGTTATATACGTTAGGTGTAATCTTTCTGTTAACTGTAGTTTGGTTTGGTTAACAAGCAAAAAAAATTTTTTTTTTATCGGCCCATATCTCGGTTCTCGATGAATGGGAAGCATTAGTTTGAAAGGACGAAAGGTTAAAAATCGCTTCTACTGCAATGTTACCAAGTGTCAACCGGTTATTTTGCTAATGCTATTATTACGCATCATTGCTCTAACTAACCTCTATGCTTTGTGCGGTCTGTTGCAATTTTGTAGCAGTACCAAAGTTGACCACTCGGAAGATCGGTGTCGAAAAGGCAGTGGCACTAGTGGCACACGTAAAAGGTGCACCAAAGTGTAAATACAAACTCTAACATGTCTTACAATATTGTTCACGACAAGTTGTATTACTTATTACGTCACTGGCTTTATTTTTCAAAAACTACGAAAGAAATTTGAAAAATGCACCACATGTCAAATTACTTCAAATAGTTATCCCGGAAACTGTGTTAAACCAGAAGCATTATTAATAATCTTAAAAAATAGGGGAGGACTCATCCACGCAAATATTTTTTTTTACAAACTTTTTGGTTTATTTAAATGTAATAATAAAGAATAACTACAATATAAAACAGGGGGACTTGATGTGTTGTGAATAAATTATTTTTAAAAAATCCGAATTGCTTGCGTGTATATTATTTT